CCCTCGCCACAAACTATTAAATAGGAAAAGGTGAGCTTCGGTCAGTATTCGAACTTCGAACCTACAACCATCCATGTCCCGAGCGCGCGCTCTACCAACTGAGCCAGTGATGAAGCTGTTGAATAGGTGAAGCTTATCTCCGCTGTGGCTCACACCACGGCTCATACCCCGGCTGGCAGAGAGGAAAAAGGGTTCCGGGTCGACTAGATTCGAACCAGCGACTTTTTGCGTACCGGCCCATCACATCAGGTGTCGCACGGCTGTAAAGTCATGGCCAGCGGAGCGCGAAAAATATCACCCGGCCGAGATTCGAACCAGCGATCAGGTTCATACCGGGCCCGGACGCTACCGACTTGGCCACGACGGAACGATACATCGCACAACTTTCGGCGACATGCAGATCTCAGCTGTGACTGACGCCCGAAAAGACTCGGCCAGCAGAGCAGGAAAAATTATCGCGGACGGGATTCGAACTACCGACCATGCCCACGATCTGCCAACGATCACGCTTTAACACGCTCGGCTACCAGCTTCCTCCTCCGATTTTAGAGGTAGTTACCTAATAAGAGGGGTCTATTTAGAATCTGCCCTCCCTCTTCCAGCGCACACCATATTTGTCTGTTTTTCTTGTTCTTTTTTTTCGTGTTTGTTTCTGATTTAATTTTTGAGGGTGATCACTGATTTATTCAAAAGTTACTCTTAGTGACCTGACTCAACTCATTTCTTTGCAGAATATGAAGGAGCTCCTGTCTATTGGGCCACCGGTGTACTTCGTCATCACCCAGGGACTTAACTACACCGACCCGGCCCACCAGAACCTCGTGTGCGGAGGCATCGGCTGTAGTGCGGACTCCCTGGCCACCGCCGTCCAGTCGGCATCCAAATCGGCAGCCATGTACGTCTGGAAGCCTAACCGCTCGCCGACGCCTAAGAAAAATCCGATTGAGTGACCGTGGAGTGACAAAGGAAAAGAAGTGACCCGCACTTTTGGTGTTTTGCAGATCTCACATTGCACGACCTGCTTCCTCTTGGTTGGATGACGCTTTTGATTGGGCGACTCTCGAAAACTGTTGCAAGGAATTTGCGAGCAACGGCTCTTTCTGTCCGCACAATCGTAAGTGTGTCAAAAATTCTGAATGCAAGGGAAGTTATGTTTACTTACTTTTGTGTTGACGAGATCTTTTCCTTCCCAGGGGAAGCCCCGGAGTGCACTAGCTGCTCGGTCTCGGTCGACAAGTCCACCAACCGGCCGTCGGCAGCCGACCTGCGGAAGTACATCCCGGGCTTCCTCACGGACATACCCGACGAGAACTGCGCCAAGGGGGGCTTGGCGGCGTACAGCCAGGGCGTCAACTACGTGCTGGACGAGTACGGGCAGGCCGACGTCGGCGCGTCCTACTTCATGGGTTACCACACCCCGGTGCGCACGTCCGCCGACTACTACGAGGCCCTGCGCGCGGCCAGGAAGATCTCGGCCAAGGTGGAGAAGGCCATCAACTCCCAGCTGGAGCTCGCGGAGCCCGTCCGCGTGTTCCCGTACAGGTGCGAGGACCCGCGCGGCAGGAGGTCCGCGATCAACCGACTCGAAAGTGCGTTCTATCTTAATGTGTGTTTTTCAGCATCTTCTACGTGTACTACGAGCAGTACCTGACCATTCTCTGGGACACGGCCAGTTCCCTCATCTACTCATGGGTCGTGCTGGCGCTCGTCATGACCCTCCTGAACGGGCTCGACATGAGGGCGTCCGCCATCGTCAGCGCCATCGTCCTGGCCATCGTCATGGAGATGCTGGCCCTGATGACCGTGTGGGGCATCCCGCTCAACGCCGTGTCGGCCGTCAACCTGGTCGTGGCCATGGGCATCGCCGTCGAGTTCAACTCGCACATCATGCACGCCTTCCAACAGTCCGTCAAGGGCGACCGGACAGCCAGAGCGAAGGAGGCGCTCGTTGAGACGGGGAGCTCGGTTAGCTAACTGTTTTTCATTTTTAACGTTCGCGTGACTTGTTAGAAATGCATATTTACGATCAAATTTTTACTTGCACAGGTATTTTCAGGAATCTTTCTAACGAAGTTTTGCGGTATCGTAGTGCTTGCTTTTGCTCCGATACAAATGCTGGAGGTATTCTACTTTCGAATGTATCTCGGCATGGTTCTCATAAGTGCCATCCATGGTTTAATTCTTCTCCCAGTCCTTCTTAGTTACATCGGTAAGTCAGACACTATTTACTGCACAAACGAAAACAATTTTGGAGCAGTAAATGAAATAATAAAATACATACTTTTGTTCAGGTCCTAAGGTAAACCAGGCCCGAGTTAACCACCACGTCGAGGAAAGCAGGCAATTAGCTCTCTTAATTTCAGAGAGCAATACGTAGCTAATAAAAATGTGTAATCTGGCATAACTGTGATAATTGTTGCGTACAATAATTAAGAGATATATTAAGCAGCACCTATATTATTAGGTCAGCGCAACTATCAATACGTCAATACGTTTTGCAACGCTGAGACTGACTAGGTAAGATAAATAATATTTTGTAAAATACTCAAGCAGCCCCAAAAAACAAATAAAACATAATAATATTTTGAAATTTTGTTGAATTAAAAAACATTGTTGCCTCTGCCCCCTTGAGCTCTAAGCGAAGACTCCAAGGCAGTGTTTCTTGAGCAGCCGTGTTCAGATCCACCGTTCTGGTACGGATGGGTCGTTAAGTTGTTTGTTTTGAAGTCCTTTATTTGTAGAGTGGAGTGTGGTACATGGGAAGAGGAATGACAGCGTGTAGAACATATCTGTATTGTTTTTTATTCTTAAGTAAGAACCTTTGATATCCTTTGTACTTTTCATTTAATAATATCAATTCAAAAAAAGATCACCAACGTACAACAACTTTAGCGCATCTCTAAGTGTGTGCTTGGATGCGCGGGGCGGGTTGAGGCGGGGAAGTTGCAAGCTGCGCCTCCGCCTCGGACTCGGGGCTCAGGGCCAGCTCGGGCGGGAGACGGGTGCTGGTCGCCCGCCCAGGGCGGGCGTCAGGTCCGAGGTGGAGGCCAGCTTCGCCGCGGCTTGACGGCAGAGTGACTCCGCGGCCAGGGAACGGGAGCGCCTTGGGAGGCATAGCGTTACAATAATACTGATTTCGGCATGGAGACCTAGTCGCATACTTTTCTTTGACTACCACAAAAAAGAAAAGAAACTAATATCCGAGTTGAGGAAGATCACATTATACCCCTAAGGTATCGGGCGCCTCGCGCCCCTGCCGGCCCAGCTGGCAGGGCGATACGTAACGGGGGAAGGGGAAATACTTATGTACATCACAATGCGAGACAATACTGCCAATCTCGATATCCGCCGTTCTTTTTCTCAAATATATATATAAAATATAATCATAATTTTCATCTACATTTTTTCATTAATTAATACCTTATCCGTCCTTCGTTACTGCTAGAGGCGTAATGCCTCGGTTCAACAAAATCTCGTTTAGAATTAGAAACAATATACAATGGGCAATCGAAAGCTATCACTTCAGGACAAAGCGGCGCTAGCCTACAGAGCTGCAGACCGATAATGAAGATTTACAACAACTGCAAGAAAGGGACAGTCTTGTAGAAACGAAGTTTGCCCTGAAAATAGATATACTCATCAGCGCTTAATTGTAACAGAATTTCTACATATATTCAAAATGTGCACAAGAGCAACATACAATAAATATTTACACAGACTTCAACTCACTATACAGAACAATGATACGTACAATCGGGAATTCGAGAGCTCAACAAAAAAATACAGGTATTTACATGTGAATCTATGTACATTTGTGCAAACACTGTCGAAAGATGTACAACTTAACACAAGAGACAATATAAACATGATAGAAATATGACACAACCTAAGTTAGTAAACAAGTCTACTCTTTGGCAGCAACTAAAACTAATTTTGTACAAATAAAGAAATTTCTCCTAACAAATCAATCGTATTCATTTGATCCAGTTATTCGGTCCCATTCCTTAACAAAAGTACGCACAACAGAAATTCAAAGCAGCTCGCTCGCGCGACATCGAATACACTGGAAAACATCCACTAACGATTTATCAAAATCTTATAATTGGCACGTACAATTTTTAAATAAGCGTTTTTTTCGTCTTCTCACTGAAGAACAATGACAAGAGGTCGAAAAGACAGGAAAGTCCCTTATTTTTGCTCTTTTCGACCACCTGTCGGATATCGGCGGCAAATGTTGCCGCCATGAAAGCCACCCGGTGGCTTTGGGCGCACGGCACAGGGAGGGAGAGGGAGACACGGAGAGAGAGAGAGACAGAGACAGAGAGTGAGTGAGAGAGAGAGGATATGTTATTGGGCGCGAGGCTCAACGATACGATCGTCGAAACGCGGGAATGGGGGGCGGGCTACGGCCGTCCGGGCTCCGTGGGGGAAGCATCACACACCAGACACCTTCGGCGCCACCTGCGCGCCCCTGGGCGTGTCTCCTACAAGATGCCCGCCCCGCTGGATGGGGGAGCAGGCCCTTTCGGCCGGACGGAGTGGGACGGTGGAGGGTACAGGGGACTTAGCGCTGAGTGGCCACGCTGGGCTCAATCGCGCTGGAGGTGCCGTACGCCCAAAGCTCTCCCTACGAGTCGAGGGACATGAGCTTCTTGAACGCCTTGCGGAACTCGGGGTTGAAGATGGTGTAGATGACGGGGTTCACGAAGCTGTTCATGTAGCCCAGCCACGTGGTGAGGATGAAGGCGGACACGCCGGGCTGGCAGTTCATCTCCAGCTTGGTGCACGTCGCGTCCAGGATGTTGCACGTGAAGAAGGGCACCCAGCACACCAGGAAGACACCTGAGGGCACAGAGAAGACGGTGTGCTTTAGCGATACATAGAGAGTGGGTGGAGGGCGAGAAAAACAAATAGAGAGACAGATAAACATGGAGAAGAAGGAGAGAGATTTTTTACTTGATTTGATCAGAGAGAGAGAAAGAGGGAAAGAGAGGGAGAGAGAGAGAGAGGGAGAGAGAGAGAGAGAAAGAGAGAGAGAGAGACGCGAGGGAAGAGCAGAGGCCGAGGAGGAAATTAGGTTGGCCATCGAGCGGGGTGCCGCCGGCGGGTCCGGCCGGCTGGTCCGGCAGCCCAT